CACAAGTCCTCGGTTATTCCTGGGTGATTTAGACTCTAAATTGGTGATATAAGTCTGAGCCTGACTTGTAATTTTTTTTTAACGAGGTGATGAGTTTTATAATACAATGAGCATAAACGCTTATGAGCGTACTGGCTAGAAACGTTGCCCTGAAGTTGACATTCGATTACACATCGGAGTAGTTGCCCCAAGTCCTGCTGTCGTCTTCGCATCGACTGCCAACATTTTGCCTCTCCGAGTTTGGGCGATCACTGGTATTGCTTAGACTTAATTAGTAGCCCTTCATCACTTCATCCACCAGTCTGACTGTTTGTTGAATTCTTTCTTGTTCGCCTTGTCGTGCTGTCTCAGAATTTCTGGAATTTTCGCAGGAAAATTTGAAACTGGAATAGTTTTCTTCTGCTTACAGTGGTTTTCTTTTGGCTTCAGCATCGGGTTCTGTTCGGAGCAGTTTGTAGTTCTGCGTGCATCTTCGGGAGTTGGATTTGAAAGATCGTTGAAAATTTCGATTTTCAACTGACGCTATGCAGGTATTTTCGAAATATTGGCATTTTTTTTGCGCAGTCCATGTGTGTTGGTTGGTCGCTCTGCCAATAACGTCGTCGGGTTCTCCGGATGTTGTCTGCTGCGGCTTGGAGTGTTTGGAGTGGTTTCCGACCCTCTGTGGACAGTTTTGACAGTTGAATTCGAAACATAGGCTATAATTTCGCGAAGCATGGATGCAAATAGGAATATGCTAGATGCTCTCGGTTCTTGGTTGGGTTGTCAATGGCTTCGTTGGTCAGATTCGAAAATTGGATTAACTCTGAAATATACTCGCGTCCTGGAATACGATACTTCCTTCACAAATATGGATTCTTTACAAAATAAATAAATTTAATGCATAGGTACCTACTTACTGTAGTTAAGTCAAAAAGATATAAAGATGCTTGTGGATAATATACCTTTATATTATCCATGATTGAATGTGAATGAGAATCCTGAATACAACATGCAAAAAGTACTCGAATCCAGAATACTTATACTCAAGTATTCACATTATACGAATACAAAGTTGAATAGTTACCTCAGAGGCACAGATAAAAATATAGAACTGTGGTACGATGTTTTTAAGGTAAATATAAAAAGAAGCTAGTTTTGTATTAAACTGAAATAAGTATAATCACGAAATGAGGCATTTTATTAAGTCAGAAAGTTTATTTTAAATACTTTGGATAGAATATGTGTACATGTCGAAGGCTAATTGCAAATTCAGTCTTGTTATAACATGCTAGGCCGTTTTAGACAAATTGTAAAATGATGCAAATACCATTTTTAACAATGTGAATGAAAATTTTAGGCTTTTTACAAAACGCTGATTAGCTATAAGTGTTATTGTAAAATTAACGTAAAAGCCAATATTTTTACATTGTGCCTAGAATAAATTGAATAACTTCGGGCGTATTATAATGAGACTGTTCTCGAGTTAGGCGAATTGAAACGTAGGCGCGGATTATTAATTTTCTAGTTTCTAGGTTAATTTTCCACTTCATGTTATGAGTTTGTCCGCGGTACGACATTATATAAACAAACGTTAAATTAGCAGAATTGTTTTGCTATTTTCTCTTCAAAATCTAGGGTTTCAAGATGTTAGAAGGCCAAGAACGAAGCTTGTTCAAATAAGTAACATAATACATATTTTAAACTTTGTAGATAGAACTTAACATTCTTATTGTTAAAAAAATCAAATGTAAGAATTCGAGTTTATTTTTTCATGCCATATTATATAAAATTAAAAAATACTTTTTATTTGTACGCAATGTACGAATTTGCAATAATGTAACTTGATATTGATTCTCAATCGTTTACAAAACGAACGGAGAGTCGGTCATATTATAAAGAAAACGAAAATTAAGATGCGTTTACAAATAAGACTTATAGCTATTCGATGTTTTATAAAACTACTAAAAATTTTGGTCAAATTAAGTCATGTTAGGTATTTTTACATTAAAGCCTAAAACTTCGTTTTAAATAAATATTTTGAATGTAGATCAGGTAAGTTATTAATTTTAACTGTCAAGGATATTTTCTTAAATGAGATGTTCAAGGAAAGCAGCTGATGTTACGTTATTTAGTAAAATCGTAGAATAACTGCAGTGAATGTGATGTTTACTGTTTTATTCTGTACGTTTCATAAGTTAGGATTCTCTCTGGATGAACAAAAAATATAATAGAATCTACTTACTTGCATTTATCATTTATTTCAGAAGATCACTTTATAAAGTTAACTGCTTACATGTTTACTTTCCATTCACATTTGCATTCATCCTGGATGAATCAACCATGTGACCAATTTAAATGCATCTAGTTCGTAACAGAGCTTTCACAGTTATCTATTTTCTCATGGGACATTTTGGGTTAAGCAAAAACAATTTAAATATCTTTAAATAAAATTATTCAATTTCTCTCCAAGTGGCAAAATACCCAGTTAAATAAATTACATAAGGTTGCAATCTACTAGTATTTCTCATACAGTCTGTATTCCAAGACTTACACAAGCTTTTTTTAATCCATTCGTGCTACTACTCTATTGTGTTCACTGCTGTGTCTATGGCTATTACCATGATAAATATTACGCACCAAAATTGGGTTTTTCTTTCGTCAATGCATTAAATCGTGTAGGAAGGACATTTTACGCCTTGTCTATATCGTTAAAATTAGATAGATATCATCAGTGAAATATGTGTCCTCTTTTTTAAAATATGCAGCAATACTTTACTAATTAATCTTTTTTTCTATGATTTATGTAAATTTGAGATGAATGAATACAAGTCACTTAATTAAGAAATGATGTATGTTTAGTATGTGGACGTAGATCCTAATAAATATATTTCATAATTCAAAATAAGCAGTTGGATACAATATTAATTTATATTATCGTGATTTGTTGAAGTAATTATGTTTTAAGTGGAAGAGTAATAATAATTATTGCGTTTATATTTAAACAAAAATCATTACAATTAAATTCAAAATACAGGTTACTACCTACTCAGAGAATTAGTTATATATTTCTGTATTACTCCATATCAATTAATAGACTTACAAGGATATTATTTTGAATATTTCACTAGTGACATTTTCCATTATTAACCATAATTTAATTGTATTTGTTAATTCAGTGGAGTGGAGTTTAGCTTGATATTTTTGATTTTAAATAATAAATGAGCATCGAAATATTCGGCATTGATATATCTTAAAATGAGTATCAATTATAGGCAACCAAATATACCTAATGAAAGTATCTAAACAAAAATCATTACAATTAAATTCAAAATACAGGTTACTGCCTACTCAGAGAATTAGTTATATATTTCTGTATTACTCCATATCAATTGATAGACTTACAAGGATATTATTTTGAATATTTCACTAGTGACATTTTCCATTATTAACCATAATTTAATTGTATTTGTTAATTCAGTGGAGTGGAGTTTAGCTTGATATTTTTGATTTTAAATAATAAATGAGCATCGAAATATTCGGCATTGATATATCTTAAAATGAGTATCAATTATAGGCAACCAAATATACCTAATGAAAGTATCTTCTGTTGAAAATGAAAAAATCTTGATGCGGTACCTAAGGTTAGGCAGCCAATTATTCCTCTAACGAAGAAAGATACTTGTGTTTGAAGCTCACTTTATATTTATCTCCAACAGAACGGTATGTATAAAATGTTTCTAAAAAACATATGGCTGAAAAAGGATAATTTTCAAATAGATTTAGTTTTCTAGGGTGATAAAATTAATGAAAACATATACTGGAAAAGACCGTATGTGCAGTTTTGTGACAAATTGAGATAATTACACTTTCGAAATTTCCATCGCATTATACCCATCTATAAATATCAAAAATATCACGGGTTTAGAAGAAGCGTTGAATTACGATGTTTTTAACAAATTTAATTCGTATGTGTTTCATACACATACCTATGTGACGCTTTTCTTATTGAAATTGCAATGTTTTCTAACATTCTTGAAACACATTTAAAAATATTTGTTTTCCATTTGCCGTTACCGAAAAAATCAAGTTATTGTCTTAATTAGTAAATAAAGTATGTCTAATATCTCGTTGCAATTTTCTCTAAACTGTCACATGTGCACATAGGGTCTTCTTCCGAAGTAGGGCAGTATAGTTTATTTTAAATCATAAAATGATAAATAATAATAGTTACTTTCGTTCATAAAGCGGTTATTTGAAAAATAAATTTTTTTTTTAATCGCGCATTTAGTAAAATTATGATAAAATAAGAAAATTCATTTAAACTATAAAAATGTTGAAATACAAGGATTCCTTCAAATTTTGGCCTCGTTTTTCGCAGTGAAAGATCACGGAGAACACGTAAACATCAGAAAATGTATCTTTCCTGTTTTGTTCAATAAATTTGTAAAGATACTTAATAATTGTGATTAATGTGTTAATAGTTTCGTAAAAGCATTTTACGAAGTGTGATTATGTTTATAGTACCATACGTGATTTTCTGTATGTTCAACGGGCGTGCAAAATTCAGGAAATGTAAGATAAGCATACAAGGCAAAAATATGCTATTTTTATTTTGAATGTATTGTCAGTTGTCCTAAAACTGTGAAGAAAACTTATATAACTGTACAGTAAAGAGATCATATTTCTAAGTTGCTTAGATTTTCTAAAATGCTGGACAAAAGAAACAATTTAATGTTGTAATAATGTAACCTAGACATGATCTACCATTTTATTTATATCGAAAGTGGTGCCTTCAACCAACATGCAGCAATAATACATTATTTGGAACGCCTTTGGTTCCTTGTTTTTCTTGTGGGTCAAACTTGTGTCATACGTGCGTAAATGCATGTGCATGAATAATCAAAAATTAATGTTGCCTAAGTAGTACTAAATATTATGTTTTTAGACTTTACACGTTTATTTCATATCATTCAAACAGAAATGACAAAACTGTGAGTTTCAATAAAGTATGTATTTACCTCTTTTCCATAAATACTTCTTCTTTCATTTGGATTCAGGTACAATAAGACATCTCCAATAGAAGAATAACATTCTCCTATTTCTAGACGCTTTTCCAAAAGAGTTAATATACTATTTTCTGTCAAATTCGGCAAAGAAGCCAAATCTTCTTCATACATGTCTTCTAAATCTCCATCAATACCTTTCTTGACACAGTTTTCGTTTACAATAATCTCAGCTGGTCTTCTTAATAGGTCTAATTTGTCAATGTCTGATAACAACGTTTTGATCTCTAGGGATAACTAAAAAAGTAAGAACGATATTCATTGTATTAGGCATTCATTAATACTAGAATGTAAATTGCTTACGTGGTAGTTATTTTCTGGTATCTGTTGCAAAAACGGATGATCTATGACTTCTATAATGTATGGTCGGTATTCAAAACATTTCACTAAGCACCTAGAAAATAATAATTAAGAAATTGTCTATTTTATTGTCCTTTTTATTTCAATTTCCTGGGTACTTTTTACAGTAGAAAGTACAATAAATTGGAATTCTCATAAGGTAAAGAAAAATATTTAGTGTCAGCATTAGGTAGGTAGGCATCATCCTGTTTAAATAAATGCAATAAATTTATAAAACTAACTAGTGAAACAAGAGTATGTGAAATAGTTGAAATAGCAAGGAAACAGAATATCAAGACATGAAATAATTTTTATCAACAACTGAAAAATATGACAGTATGTACATACAAGTTTATTTATATAAAATTCCGCCCCCTTTATCTTGGATACTACCATAAAAAAATAGTGTGAGCCAAAGTTGTAGGAAATTTTCTTGTGATTTCAAAACTGTATTTATAAAAACAATTGAATATAGATTCTTGAAATATCAGATGTTAAAAGGAACTATCAGCTAATTCATCAAAATACAGGAATATTTAAGAGAGTAAGAAAATGGGTAAGGAAACATACCGAAAAGTGTATAGAGGTATATCATTTTGAACATATTTTCTAAATTCTATGTTTATCTGAAAGTCATGTAAAATAGTCAAAAGATTTGAAATTAAATCAGATAATATTTCTATTTAAAAGTTGAGATTTTTTTTGTCTAGTGACGTGCCATAATTTTTCAAGAAATTGTAACCAATCCAATCTATGCCTCTGATTTGAGACGAGACTTAATTTTTTTACGTTGAATATTATTTTATTTCATTGTGCACTTAAAATGTCATTTTTGTATTTCAATTTGTTGAGATATTTAAGAGACATTCTTTTTTCACATTTCAACGGCCTAAGGTATCTTAAAAATGATCAGCTTTCGACAAATACAGCAAAGCATTATTTTTACTTCCTCTATAGATACCTTAATTTTCATGTTAAATATTTGGACCACTGTAAAAATTCATTGATATCTTAAATCTAAGACAGAAGCACAGCAAATTCAATTGAAATGGAAATCGTAAGATGCACATAGAAGACTGCGCATCTTCAAATTTAATAGTAAATAGTTAATTAGTATTTGTAATTTTAAATCATCATCAAAATTATTATCTATTTTAATAGCGTTTCAATATAAGTAAAAAAATCTTATTATGGTCCTCATTAACGCTTCTCCATCCAATGGAAATGAAAATGGCTCAAAATTTATGAAAATGCCGACAACGAAGTGAAATTGCTAGTTTACATATGCTGTGATAGAAGAAAGATGAATTTCAGGAGCAGTATAGGTTAATTTCATATTCCTTAGACATTGTTCAATACAATGGTATAAACTTAATTAAAAAAAAAAAACATTCGGGCATATTTCTATATAATGGCGTAGGACAAATCAAGGAAAGAGTTCATAAAACATTTGTAGAAGCAAAGAATATTCTGGAAACTAGGGAGAAGACGAAATTTATTTCTTCTCAAGAAAGAAAGTTAGACAAATCGAAGCAGGAGAGGTGTTCCTAATAATAGTTAGTGTTTGTTAAATTTTAAGCTGGCTATTATCGTTTCTAATTTCAATGTTTGTTCAGATGATGAAGCTTTTGTTTATTGTTTAAAATATATTATTATCTACTTACTCACTAATAAAGTCGTGGTAGTATTCGGACCAATTAGAAAGTTTTTGTAAAGTTGGTGGAGGATTCGTGATAATCTGAAATAACGCTCTTGTGGGGTGAACATCTTGAAAAGGAGTTTTACTCTCACCCAATTCTATCGCTGTTATACCTAGTGCCCAAACATCGATCTAAAAAGATATAAATTATAATAAATTCACAATAGAAATAAAAATATTCAATAGATGGTTTTTTATTTCTTCAGACCCAATGAATGAATATACGTTTAATAGGGAAAACAGTGAATTAAGTAATAACTATCGCGTATAAAAAAGTCTATCAAAACGTTTATGTATATGAGTAGTACTTGTGTTCTTTCTTAATAATCATAAAATATGCAAAAAGCTTACAATGTGGCACATTAAGAATACAATCCACTAAAATCTTTTTTGTAAGCAGGATCGAATGATTATTATTTTTATAGATATGTAGCGGCCTTCTACAGTGTAGGAAAGTACCTATGATCTAACAGAAGTTACGTGAGAGCGATAAAGTAAGCCATAGAAATCCATGTGATAGACAAGGATGGCTATAATGAAGGCGTCTAATAGTCAACGCCCATTTCGACCTTCCACAAATAAGAAGTGGATCTTATTTGTGGAAGGGCGAAATGGGCGTTGACTATTAGACGCCTTCATTATAGCCATCCTTGTTTAACACATGGATTTCTATGGCTTATTTTATCGCTCTCACATAACTTCTGATAGACCATCGGTACTTTCCTACACTGTATATGTACCTACATGGTCAGTTTGTTGATTTTTAAATAACCACATTATCTCAAATTTCATCAGTTTTTAACAGAGAATATAGAGAATATCATTTCTATAGGAACCATTTTCTAAATGTTAAATTTATTGGTCAATAAAATCTATGTGTATATATGTAAGGATGTAATTTTTACGGGACAGATACATATTTATTTGTCAAATCTATAAGATATTGGAATGCCTGAAGATGGCGAAAAATTAGCATAATTGGCAGTAACAATTAAGACATATATTACCAAGAGCATCATGTTAATTACTTTAATAAGTAAATTTAGAAATTTAGATGGTTATTATTCATAATTAGGAGGATAAGCATTTTTAATTGAAATTGTAATTGGTTTCATTAAGCCTTAACTATTTAATTTTAAATTAAAATTTCAAGAAATGTAAAACAATCAGCTAACAATAATTTTATTTTTACTGACCCTATTGTCATAGTAAGCGTCTTTCTTTTTTTGATTAGCAGCAGCAAGTTCAGGAGCCATCCAACAAGGTGAGCCCATTTTGGCAAACAGCTTTTCGTCACTGCTTCGGAGTTTCTGGGATAGGCCGAAATCACAGAGCTTTACCTCGCCTTCTCTTGTCAATAGTATATTACTACCTTTTACATCTCTATGAATAACGTTGTTTTCATGTAGATATATGATGGCCTAAAACAGATCAATGCGGGATATTGATTCCTATAGTCACAATAATAAAAAGAACAGGAAAAAATAGTTTGAAAGAATTCCCCAAAGATAGAAAATGTGAAACAAACTTTTTAATAAATTACTCAAGAGTTGAAGTTACCTGTCAAATTCAGTTCAGTGCCATTTCCTTGCAGTGGGTACCTAGTTGTGAAATACCCTCTATTTTATTGGAATAGTGGTTCCCAGTCTTAGACGACAGATCAATTTAATTTAATTTATCTTAACTACCGAATAAATTATCATGCCGAATGATACCGTGTAAAAGGAAGGTAAGTTCATTCTTTACGTTATATTTCATTACAATCCATATTTCGTAGATAAGAAAGATATATTTAAAAATGTTTATGGCAGGCAACTTCTTTTTGTTGTAGTTGTTCTCCGTTTTCGTTGTCGAAAATAATCACATGTCATAACATAGTTCAGCTATTAAGTATTTAAAATATTTTGTCTATGTAGAAAATACTATTTTGTGGGACCTGTGCCCTTAAGCAGATGTGTAAATATTACACAGCCCACAAAAAAAGTGGGAGGTCCGAAAGACGTGACCAGTTGCTATATGTTTTTGGGGTCGCTGAATCTGAATCGAGTGTCCGTTTAACACGATTAGCTCTGGTTGAAGGTCAGTTCAAGGTCAAATGTAGAGAATCAAATGCTAACAAAGTAAATCTACATATCTATACGTTTTTAGGGTCGGTGAATCCGTTTCCGGTGTCCATTTGATCCGATCAGGTCTGCGTTAAGGTTAATTCAAGATCAAATGTAGAGAATCAATTGCTAACAAAGTAGACCAATGTATCCATATGTTTTTGGGATCGTTGAATCCATTCGGGATCTGTTTGACCCGATTAACTCTGGTTGAAAGTTAGTTGAAGGTCAAATTTATAGAATCAATTGCTAACAAAATAAACCCATATATCTAGATGTTTTTGAGGTTACTGAATCCTAATCCAGTGTCCGTTTGACACAATTAGATTTAGGTTAAGGTCAGTTTAAAGTCAAATATAGGGAATCAATTGTCAATAATGTAAACCAAAATATCTACCTATTTTCTTTTGAGGTCGCTGAATCCGAATCCGGGGTCCATTTGACCTGATCAGATACGCTAAATATTCCCAAGTTCTAAACTCAAAGCACTCAAATTAAGCATTTATGCGTACTAAAATTTGAGTAACAAATAAGATTAAAGAAAACTTTAACTCTGAGCCTTGACTCTCGAGTTAATTGTTTTTACATGACAAAATTCTAGTACCAATAAATCTAATGAAGCTTTAAACCAGTTAATGCTGTTAATTAATTTACACAGTAAGTCCGTGACGATTGAGAACATAATTTCAAGACAAGAGGTCTTTTGTCGTGATAAATCACATGAAATTACTATATCTCACCATTATGGAATCGAAACTACTACTCACTTTTGTGATATCGAACTATTTTATTGTCAAAAGATCTGCGAAATGGATTTCCTTTACCTTTTCTCAATTTCGATGGTAAATCTCTTTTTAACGACCAGCAGTAATCGGCTAACATTGGTACCGACGCTTTATTTCCTTAATATCTATTTCAAATCTTTCTCCTCACTGTAATCACCCAAATTTTTTAGGAAATAATCCACATGAGAATGTAAAAAATTTAAATAAAAAACTTGAGTGTTTTGAATTTAGAACATGAAAGTACTTAGCAGACCTGATCAGGACAAACGGACCCCGGATTCGGATTCAGCGACCCCAAAAACATATAGCTACCATGATCTTGTCTTTCGGACCTCCTATTTTTTTTTGTGAGGCTGTGTTATGAGTGCAGCGGATTGCTCCATCACTTTTTACAATAATAACAATAACATATACTTGTTTGTTTATTTATGTTTTAAACCCAAAAGATCAAGAAAAACTGCTCGAAGAAATAAGTTACTTACATTTACATAAATGCATTGCACAAACAAGCAGAATCTAGAGCAGGTATCATGAGAATACTATCTATATTCTGTTAGAGTTCAGTTCTGTAGTTAGATTCCAAAATTTTTCTAGTATTTTGAAATGGCAGACGTTTTTAAATCAACGTAACATTATTTAAAGAGAAATTGCAGCAAACAACGACAATAGGGAAGATTATTATTTTTTTGTTTTTTTTCCTAGCTATGCTTAGGTACTCATAGTATAAAAAAGTGAAACCTATTGATGAACTCCAATAAAATGCCTTTATAGAAAAAAGAAAGGAATGTGTTTATATTTTCAAGCTAACAGATAATTTTAACAAAACACCATTTGGAAAAAAACTATAACTATTTTGAAATGTGCTGCTAATGCTTTCAAAAAGCATTAGCACCTATTGGTATGCCTGAAAATGATATTTATGTTATTAAATTAACACTGCCACTTCGTCCTTATTCAATCAATCCGCCAGTCAGACCGCCGAAATATACATTGGCGAAGCACTAACTTGGCAGCTTTGGTGCGAACACATGGAAACAGCTCACTACAAGTAATTCAAAACATTCATGGATATTCTACAAATTCTGACAATAAGTGACTTAGACATATTGGTCATTTTTGATGTCCAATCCTTGTTCACCAACGTACCAGCAAAGACACATTTGATCTATTATGAACTTTGTTCTCACCGCAACAGCTAGTCCTATTTGAGTTTTGTCTTACATCCTATTACTTCTTATGCAGAGGAGATTACTTTGAAAAAACAACCATGATGTCGCTTGCCACGGGGAGCTCCCTGAGTCCTGTAATGGCAAACTTTTTCATGGAACATTTCAAAAGAGCAGCATTGGAAACAACTGAAATCGAACCATTTTATTGGTAGCGATATATGGACAAGTTTATTATTTAGCTGCATGGTAAAGACAGTGATTATTTAAATATTTGGTTTGCTATGTAGGAAGAAAAAAGGAGACAATCGGATTTCCCGGATGTCTTGATAATTGGAAATCAGCGGCAGCAGGTTCATAATAGCATTCTTAGAATCAAATACAAGAACCGAAAGGTCGAGCCTAAGGGTTCTGATAGTGGGTCCGTCCCCACAGAACTTAGTCCGAGAGCAATATCAAAGATACTGATATTTCTTAGATTTGTATAAAAGTGTTACTTAATTGGCGATTATAAAAAAAAACAATTTGATGGACACTTACGTACTTGTAGGTACGTATAGGAAGCCAATTAAAAACTCATACATATAACAGGTCTCTTTTTATTAATAATAGACATAATTTACTTAAATAGATACGTATTCTATAATAACATGTAAGAGTCTATTGCATCATACGAGTATATATGTAGTATATTGTGTCAATACCTACTAGATCTTTTTAAATTACCCATTTAAATAAAAATAAATAAAATACAGTGTGTAAATAATTTGACTGCCATTACTTCAACATGAGATACAGTAATCATAAATGAACAAGAAAGTTGTATATTACAGGGGCGTAAGATTAACAATTTCAAAATACAGCGAGTATTAATATTAGGGAGTTTCATCACAGCGCAGCGTGACAATAGCGCTTAACCTAATGTTAAACAACCGATGCACATCACGTGTGCACGCGGCAGCCTTGTCCTACGGAATAACAAAAGTGTAAATAACTATTATTGTGAAACATTTAGTAAATTTCAAGACAATTGTTTTCCAGTTTTTAAAAAATAAAATAAAGTGTATCGATTTTGTAGTCCGAAGATAGTATTGTGCTTAAATTTTAGATCACATTTTAGTAATTATGAATCTTTTAAAAGAGGAACTTTTAATCAAATTATTAATTTGAAAAATAAGTAATTAAGGTAGGTACCCAAAGATTCTCATCGTCGAAATAATCATACGCATTAAAAATAATTAAGGTATTTACCAAAAAGCAAGATACAGTAATTTTTAAATGCACAACTACAAAACACACACGACACCTTCGAATCCAATTTTCGCGCAGGCAAATACTCGTTTATTTGATAGGCAGCGGCAAAAATTCGTTCTCGCAAGTCTTCGACTGTCAAATTCCAGATACAAATTGAATTGCGTATTGTTGGTAGTTGGACACCTTAATATCTCGTGTTAACCGCCGCGCCGTTGTCACATTGCTCGATATGAATTTTATCGAATTTTAAATTTATTACAACGCTAATTATTTTTTAGAATTAAGCATAACGATAATGAAGAAGTTCAAAAAAGTGATAAACATTGTATTTTATGGTATTCTATGCACGCAGTTATGTCAATATTCTTTAATTAATCGAATATCAAGTTGGAGATTTTAATAATTTTTTTTCTCGAAAATGGTTGAGTTTAGGACCCATGTCATATAAGGTTTTTTTGTTTATTGATGTATTCTATCGTCTGTTAAATTTAAAATCAACTGTATCTATGTTATTACTAAAATTGCTAGCACAATTCGCATTAACATTCACTGAATGAAGAATAGTATTAAGTATTGACAATAAACTCATTATTATTAATCTACATCAAAAGCTACTTTTTCTAGTAGGTAAATTCTTCTTCGTATCGTTCATCTTGTTTACACTGTTCACAACTTGAAAACCTATCGCGTCTCCCCTCCTTTTTAATGCTTTCAGTACTTTCTTAATTTTGTTACTTGCATTTTGTACTATCTGATATAATTTGTATTTTCATGATACACAGAAGAGTGTGGCAAAATGAATGCTGTGACAACCATAATATTATCCTCCGACTTCCAGTTTGTCTCCAAAGTGACGAACCATTAATTTCGGTATAGAAAAATTCTTCTTGATGGTCAACATGTTGAATATAATGTGATTAAAAAAATACTAAATACTCTGTAAGAAAATGGTTCTGCAACGCATTAACTTGTTGAACACTTGTTACCGTACTAGCCATACTGCTAGTAAATGTTAAATTTTATGACGAAATAGATCTACAAACATGCTGTTAATTTACGTATTAAAGAAAATTGCATTCGGAAGATTTTATGTGGATATGAGACAGGCTGG